CGTTTCGACAAGGTTTTGTCATCATCAAAATGTTGTACATTTGCTGTTAGGTTAAACTTATATTAAAGTTTTTCTTCATTACCCATTCAAGCCGTTTCCAACCATTATTATATCCTGTCAGATATTACCTGAATACCTGTTAAACATAGAGTACGTAAACCTTCTCAATGGAAAAACATAAGCATGTACACACACCTTCTGAAGAAACTAAGAAGTGGAAAAATATGAATATACACAAAATTTTTAAAGATTATTTTTTTTTGCTTTACGGTGTGGATCTTCTACCCAAAAAATTAATTACAGAATTCCTAGTTAATAGATGGTTCGACATAATTACTTAAACAATCTTAACATTTTGTTTTCGAAGATCTACTTCCCAGTACCAGAAACACGATGCTATTTCAGTCAGCTCTTTCAAGTGTACTCTGCATGGTATCATGCATGGATCACAAGTCATTCTTCAATTATAACTATTAAATACAACTTATTTGGCACTTACATAAATAATCTGACCAAACTAATGTAACTTTTAGCTTTCCTAATTACTTAAACAAAAACTACACATGTATGGTACAGTTAGAATATCAATGAAATACCTTGGTCCTTAAAGTGTTGCTCCAAGTCACTTTCATTCCACTGCAAAGATGTCCGTCTGAAACTCTCCACATCTATAGGACTGTTTAATGAGAAACTCAACCTGTCTTCTTTGTTGATCATGGTTTTCATTAAAAGAGATGAGCAACGAAGTGCTATCTCTAAAGCATCCATCCAATACTTCCCTGCCGATTCAGATGGAGCTCGAAAAATCAGGTAAGACATTGGAAAGGGCTGCGTAATTGCTCCAATAGTTTCTCCTCTAGGTCCCTATCAAAAATCAATATAATACAAGATTTTAATGACACATGAAATACTTATCAAAACAATTAAATGATAAAAGTATATTCCAAAGTCAGTATATTGAAAGTGGTAATAAGATTAATTAAAATAATCCAAGTTTACATAATTGGTTGGTTGACTGTTTAAGTGTAAAGCTAAACAACGAGCTTGAATCTTCAAGCTAATGGTCAAAAATCTTTCTAGAGCTTTCAATTTCTTAGACTTCTCAAACCTGCACTGACTTTCTAGCTGTCAATCTCATTAACTGTCATGTATAACAGGACTTTAAATGAACTTATCTGAGACTTGCAGATGGCTCATACATACCAAGAAATTACTCTTGATAATTAATTTAATAATATAAATACATAAACTGTAACATACATATGTTTCTAAATCCAACAGAAGGGCATGCCAAAGTTCAACTTTTTATAAAGATATTAATTAAGAATAGGTAATCTCTTCCAAAACACACTTCGTAATCACGTTCCCCTGGCTACACAATTTTAAAATTTATACCAAGGTATATTTTGGACTTCTATGAATTTGACAGCTATCACTATGTACTTCATTGATCCACTAAAATGAACTAAAACCTTATAATTATAACAGCCATTAAAAAATATGTATATTGCAAAAAACATATTTCTCTAAGAACAATTAACAGTTTTATAATATGACTGTACACTGTTAGAATTATTTTACTTTTACTAATGAAAAGAATGATGCCCAAGAAAAAAAAGGAGGGGGGTCCTAATAAAATACTTTGCATATATCATAGCTACCTACTCTGCCTTGGAATTACACTTACTTTACCTGCTATAACATATTTTCTTGTACATTGTTCAAGTTACTACTAAAAACTTTTATATTGAGAGTCTATAAGAATATAAAACATATAAAAAGTTAAAATGCTAAGTTAGTTTTTTCCTAGTGTTTTAATTTACATTAATGCAAATATTGTATGTCTTAGATTTCTGCCAAGGTATTGCATAACTTAATGTAATTCTATTTTTACAGTTAAAAAGCTATTTCCAGGTGTATTAGAAATAAAACAGAACTACCGACAGACTAAATATTGGCCTCTATTGAGCAGTCAATTCTTCCTCGGTAATTTATTTTGACCAGAAGTTATTGGTATACTTTTTTTTAAATGCTCTTTCAGTAGATGGGGATGGCAAGGAGCTTTTCTAACAATATGTCAAGATAGTGTAATAGGATTTCCATCTCCAAGTAAAAGTTGAAATTTCCCATTTTTCTCAAATATACTTCATCTATTTCTAATATGGTTTTAATAAACTTTCACTGCAACAATCTGTGGATGATCTAACATGAAAATACTTAAGAATGACTACTAATTCAACTAAGTCCAAAAACAAATTATCAACAAAACGTATCTATGTGTACATGTAATATTAGGCCTCACATCCATAAAGGGAAAAAATACCAGAGGTTTACCAACGCAAATACAGGAAAGTTTTAAATGTTGTTCACCTAAATATACAATTCTTGTTCATCTGTACACAACTACCTGTGCTTTATTTACTCATCATTAACTACCACCCAGATTTTGCCACTCCTGCTTAGAATACTTTTTTTACCTCCTAACTTAGAACTTACAGTCACAATATATTAAAATGTGATTTTCAAGAAGGGTGAATAAAACGTGAGAGAGAATACATATATACGAGAAGCAGAAAACCATACAACAAGCACTATTAATCACTGCCTGCATTTTATCTTGGGCAGCTTCAGACAGCTTACTGTTGGCTTCACTGATCAAGCTTTTTTAAACCTGTACTTTCTCACCTAATGACTGATTCATGGTGTGATTTAGAGCTAGCAGGCATCATTTCATCAAGATTTTGCGACGGTCATGACCTTGTTGAATGTAATAATTTCATTTCTCATTAAAACGTTTTCTGGTTTGTTACCACAGAAGCTTGGATAATCCTTCATGTTTCACAAAGTTGTCACTGTTTATTAAGCAACAGATACTCTCTCTCTCTCCTTTGTCTTTATTTACATATAAATTCTCTTTCCGCATCTGTCAAATCGCAAGACAAAGTCTACACAATTACCTAATTACCCAAGTCTAATTATTAATTACTATTATTAATAGATATTAATTACAAACTAGTTTTTTATCCTAAGTTTCAAACATTAACCCTTTGAGTGCTATAATCAGACTTATCTAACTTGATATTTATAGCTGTTTGGTGCAACAAGCGGATTTACCCCACACTATGACAAAAACTTTTCCTCATAGTGCGACAATCAGGATACTCCCACATCCTTGAATTTCTTGCCTTACTACCGCACTAGTGTACATCACCTAGCAAAAGTGCAATAAGTGGATTATGACATTGAAAAAAAATATATAAAAAAAAAAGTCAAATTCTACATTTCATTTGTCAGTGGATAATTGACAATTTTGAAGAACCCACCCAAAATTTATGGATTCAAAGAATTAATCTGCTACTGTCTTTAGGGAAGTTCTATAAAGGACTGTTTCTGTGAGGTCCATGGTCATAAAAAATGTTGCAAATGGTGTTTTTGCTTTTCATAGAGTATTTGGTTGGTTTGGTGTGTATTGAATGTATTGTAGCTTCTGAATACTGTTCTACCTTTATGATCTTTTCATAAAGCCCTTTGACATAGGGAAGTATGGCTACATGTCAGTAATTTTCTTCCTGCTTATTTTTCTCCTTTATATTATTGATTTTCTTCTTTATCAAAAATACCGAGTATCCACTAGCAAGATGGATTCTAGTAACATGTGTTTCTTCCTTTGAAATTACAAATCATGTTCATTCTGGAGACTAGGCAGACTACAACATCCATCTTTAGACTGTTGGAGTGATTGGAATCTTGGTCACTAAGAAAACCCCACAAATAGTTAATCTCGGAACTTTACTGAAGATGGTAGCAAACAATCAATATAAACATAAGATAAAAACTAGTTTGAATTAGTATCTAATAGGCACAGACTTGGATCATGTGGGAGTGCTAGGGGGGGAATTTCACCTACGGAAGTTAGTTTCACCCCCAGTCTATTACATAGTGCATGACCTCATAACCAGACACTTGTTAGTTTACTAAATCAGCCTCTAAATTGTAGATGACAAGGCCTATATCTCTTACTATGCTCACTGTATACATGCCTCTATTCAAAACTGTTACATTTATTTAAAGATCATAGGAATGTGACAAATGGAAAGGTTAATGTGGTCAGCTTTCATTATTAGATGTCCACACAAACAAAAACATGTGTTGAAGATATATGATATATGAAAATTAAATGTGGATAAAACAAAAAAGTATCATTAACATTATTCCTAAGCAATTATTTCATAATAGTAGAATATTTTATTTATTTTAGAGTTAATAAACACTACACACAAAAATTTAAGGGTAATGAGGTTTATTTAGATGTATATTTTTAAGTTATCAATTATTTTTCAAATTTAGCATGCTTATTGTAAAGGATTACACTTATCCTATCTAGGGCTTGCAGGTTTATGCACCAATGTTTCCTTATGTTATAGGCCTTTATGAGAAATGACCCAAATTCTACAAAGCAAAAGGCTACTTTTGACTGATTAGAAAAGATATTTACTGTTGAGATAATGAAGGGTATAAGGATTTATTTTGCTGGTACTGACTTTTGTGAAGAATGTGGAAGCTGCTAAAAACAATTAAGAAAAACTGAAGTTTGCAGAGACATTACAGTGCTTCAGGAGGTAGCACAGGTCATGGGGTTGTCACAATCTGGGGTCAGTAGATTGTGACACATATACCAGCCTGCAGGAGAATACAACAGGAGGCCAGGCCAGGTTAGCAGAAGGGCTACATGCAGTAAACAACTGATATCTATGGAAGTTAACCCTTAAAAACCACAGCAGCAGCACTGGGGGTCTCAGAAACGAGCTTCAGCAAGACACTGAAGTGCATGTATTGTGCTCAATGGGAAGGAACAGGATCCATGATGCTGGGGTGACCCCAACCAGGATATATACTAGTTAAAGCCCTTGTACTAACCCCAAGGCACTGAGTAATGCAGGTAGGATTTTGCCTAAGAACATGTCACAAGGACTCTTCAGCAATGGATCACTATAGTGCTCACAGATGAGTGCAGGTTTTGTGTATCTTCAAGTGATTGATTTGTGAGGGTCTGAAGACGTGAAGAAGAGAGATATTCAGCCTGTAATATTGTCCACCATGATGCCTTTGAGAGTGACTTAGTCATGGTCTGGGGTGTCAACTGCATGCAGGTGAAGACAGACCTTTATATAGTGGATGGAGTATACCCGATATCAAGACATTACATGGATGAGTTCCTACTAACAATTGTTTGCCCTTTTGCTGGTTCTTTTGGAGATGAGTTCATGTATCAGCAGGAGATACTGAGAGGATCACACAGCAATTTTTTCAGGGTGAAGAAATCGAGGTACTGGACTGGATTGCTAAGTCACCAGACCTAAATCTGATTGAACATGTGTGGGACTTACTAGAGAGAGCAGTTAGAGACAGACAACCTGCTCCTACAACTGTCCAGGAGCTCAGACCTGCCCTTATCCAGGAGTGGACCGTGTTGTCCCAGCAAGTCATCTGAAATATCATCAGCGGTATGGGGAACAGTTGCAGAGAAGTCGTAAACAATAGAGAAGGACCTACCAACTATTAAAATGACTCATTTTAGTAAATTTGTTCATCTTAATAAGTTATTTTTACTTGTGATATTTGTAACTAACCAAAGTACCCAGCTTTACTTGGGTTACTAAATTGATATTTTACTGGTTGACTGTGTCTGTATATTTTGAACCTATTTTAGATATGAAATACAGCCAAAAATATTTTCAAAGATTTTGTTTTTCCCAAAAACCTATAAAAGTCATTAATTTTATTGTATAATAAAAATATTTGTTGTATGTTAAGAATTATTTATTTACATCTTAATAATTTATCAATCACTGAGAATAT